AAGTTGAAACATTAGTATAAAAAAATTTAAGCATTCAGATCTTCTTCGCAACTGATATGAAAATAACTATACCGAACGATAGAGACGCCCTATGTTTCGCCTTCTGTGGCTTTCTTCGCAGGCGAAACTATATCAAATTTATATATAGAAGAATTACAATGCTCATAATAACGATATCGATCGTCTAAATATTTCAAATGAATTATTTTAAACCGAAACTTACGTTTAATTAAAACAGGCTTGGCTTTACCAACGGTAAATTCAGAACATATTGATCAGACTAGTGAAAAATACCAGATACTCCATGTACCACTCATTTATAGAGAGAAATAGGGTCTGTATTTATTTTTAAAGATGTCAAGGTGTTTTAAAGTTCAAATGGAACCTTAAAAATTATGCACATTTTAAATCGGACATAAAAGCGGAATCATCGGACAAAAAGCAAAACGGACCGAAATTAACGGACAAAAAGCAAAAGTGTCGGACGAAAACAAAATTATCGAACAAAAATAAAACGGACAGAAAGCAACGGACAAAAAGCAAAAGTGTCGGACCGAAAAGCAAAATTATCAGACAAAAAGCAACACCGGACAAAAAACAAATGCAGGACAAAAAGCACCGTATTAAACGTAAGTGATATAAGGTACTTTGGAATACTAGGCTCATGCTGCTTTGCATTTGACCATGTCTAAAAACACGTTGTTTTATAAACGTAATTCTGAATAACAAACAAATGGAAATAAAAGGTCCCATAAGGAATAGAGTATATAAAGTTAAATGTCTCGGACATAAAATCTTTCCATTATATCTTCGATATGTTATCAAATCTCATTCCACAAATCATTGTGTTAACGTTTTTTTTTACTAATGTTTGTGAGCTATATTATATGTATTTTTCGTCTTTTTTTCTATGGGCATCAGCAAAGCATAGACCCTCACACTAAAATCTTCAATTGTATTTTATTTTGTTCATTTCAAATATATATGATAACAAAAATTTCCAAAGTAAGTGTAAGTGTTTTTCTTGATTTTTCTCTGGAAATTGACAATTTCGTTTTTTAAGATGAATGTCTTTTTTATTACCTAGTTTGCAATTGACATAAGTGTAAAACTTCTATTTTTTTCTGAAAAAAAACTTATGATAAATGCAAAGCCATATAAAATACTATAGGTACTGTGAGCAAAGTTTAAAAAAGAATTGACCGTCCCTTGTAAAGTCAATGATTTGCTAAGAGAAACCTAAAAAATAATTCGGATAAAAAATAAAATAGAGGGTACACAAGGATATTATTATATAGTGAAGGTTGTGAGAAATTGACATTAAATCCATATAAGTGGTTAAGAAGTAGAAGCATAAACTGTTTATATCATATTGCAAAGCCTTATGCAAAAAACTAGATGTACTGTGAGCAAAGTTTAAAAAAGAATTGGCCGTCCCTTGTAAAGTCAATGATTTGCTAAGAGAAACCTACTAAATAATTCGGATCAAAAATAAAATAGAAGGTACACAAGGGATATTATTATATATCGAAGGTTGTGAGAAATTGGCATTAAATCTATATTATAATTAGTGGTTTAGAAGTAGAAGCGGCTACAAATGTGTACCATAGTGTGCGGATTTGGCATTAAATCTATATTATAATTAGTGGTTTAGAAGTAGAAGCGGCTACAAATGAGTACCATAGTGTGCGGATTTGGCATTAAATCTATATTATAATTAGTGGTTTAGAAGTAGAAGCGGCTACAAATGAGTACCACAGTGTGCGGATTTGGCATTAAATCTATATTATAAATAGTGGTTTAGAAGTAGAAGCGGCTACAAATGTGTACCATAGTGTGCGGATTTGGCATTAAATCTATATTATAAATAGTGGTTTAGAAGTAGAAGCGGCTACAAATGAGTACCATAGTGTGCGGATTTGGCATTAAATCTATATTATAATTAGTGGTTTAGAAGTAGAAGCGGCTACAAATGTGTACCATAGTGTGCGGATTTGGCATTAAATCTATATTATAATTAGTGGTTTAGAAGTAGAAGCGGCTACAAATGAGTACCATAGTGTGCGGATTTGGCATTAAATCTATATTATAATTAGTGGTTTAGAAGTAGAAGCGGCTACAAATGAGTACCATAGTGTGCGGATTTGGCATTAAATCTATATTATAATTAGTGGTTTAGAAGTAGAAGCGGCTACAAATGAGTACCATAGTGTGCGGATTTGGCATTAAATCTATATTATAATTAGTGGTTTAGAAGTAGAAGCGGCTACAAATGAGTACCATAGTGTGCGGATTTGGCATTAAATCTATATTATAATTAGTGGTTTAGAAGTAGAAGCGGCTACAAATGTGTACCATAGTGTGCGGATTTGGCATTAAATCTATATTATAATAAGTGGTTTAGAAGTAGAAGCGGCTACAAATGAGTACCATAGTGTGCGGATTTGGCATTAAATCTATATTATAATTAGTGGTTTAGAAGTAGAAGCGGCTACAAATGAGTACCATAGTGTGCGGATTTGGCATTAAATCTATATTATAATTAGTGGTTTAGAAGTAGAAGCGGCTACAAATGTGTACCATAGTGTGCGGATTTGGCATTAAATCTATATTATAATTAGTGGTTTAGAAGTAAAAGCGGCTACAAATGAGTACCATAGTGTGCGGATTTGGCATTCAATCTATATTATAATTAGTGGTTTAGAAGTAGAAGCGGCTTCAAATGTGTACCATAGTGTGCGGATTTGGCGAAGTACATGTCCTGCCAAAGTATACTCTAAACAATTATTAAAGAAATGAAATATAAGGTGCAAAAGTATAATTCATGTAAAAAAGATTCTGTGAAAGTTTCCAAAAAAAATATTTTTAGAGGTTCAGGAGCAAAATAACTACAAGCATTACTATTATGGACCTATACAAAGAATTTACAAATTGGGAACACTTGAGTTTATCAGTTTTGATTAGGTTCGTGTTGTCCAGTCATCAGTTTCCTGTGTAAAATCTGATTTGTGGACTATTTGTTTATCGCTGTGCTTTTGTTATTTGTTTGGTAACGCTGGTTTTTTGTTTGTTTTTATAACTTATTTTTTCAATGTTTAGGGCTCACCAAAAATGAAAAAAAAATGTCTACAAGGTCCAGTGGGGTGGCCTTCCGTTTTAGAAAAGTACAAGAAAGCACATTGACTTCCAATCGTTCAAATAAAATGTGAACTTGACAGGTCATTAGTTATCATTTACAATCATTAAATTCAACAGTCTTTGATATATGTATAATTATTTTGTTTTTATAACTATTAATGTCTACGATATGGATACATCACACTATAGGTACATACTTTATATTAAAAAAAAATGGCAACTTATACAGAAAAATAAATATCAATTTCATAAAACGAATATATACATTGCGCGATAAAAGTGGCTTTTTAATATTAAAAGAAAAAAGACGACCAAATATTAGTTTGAACAGTATTTCTTATTGAAAAATTATAACAATAAAGTAGTACAATTTTACATAGCAGTCGAATATGGCTCTCAGAAGCAAGTTTGGAAAAAAAAAGTTTATAAATCCGTCTTTCGGGACTAGATATTGAATTATTCTACCTTTGTGGACAAAGAAAAGTAATATTAAAGAATATCTTCTATTATAATAAAGGTAATACATGATATCCTTGTCGAACTCAGATTGTTAATGAAAAAGAAATTCAGTTTATGGCCCAGAAAATAAAGTTCATGGTTTTTTTAATCATGAATTTTCAATTTCGTCATCTGCTAACTTTTTCTACAGCAGTGATTTTATTTGTCATTACTAAGAAATTAAATAATGGAAGTTATGTTAATTTTGAATAACCCCGATTTAAAAGTTGACAGTTCTCTCTTTTCGGGATAAGAGAATTTTCAGGTCTCAATTCCCACTCTGATTTAGTATAAAGCTTAATTTGTCATTATCTTTGCTGCTCATTCACGACAAGAAATGTCTTTTCTTTCAAAGACTTTTTTTACATCATTTTCATTGGTAGTTAGTTTTTTGTCTCTATTTAGCTGTCATTCCTTTAACGTACCTAACTTAGATATATAGGTATATATTATTCAGACAGTACTTTTTAACTGCAGATTATATGTGCTACATTGTATGAAGGCAAATAAAAAAATAATTAAAAAAAAAATCGGCAGTCAATTCAAACTATATATTGATTGGTTAAATATTTTTTAATCAATTGTTTATTTGCCTTTATACAATGTAGCCAATTTAATCTTGCAGTTAAAAATACTGTCTGAATAAAAGTTTTAGGATTGGTCATCAGGTTTCAATTATATATTGTACATGTCATGTGCAAAACAAAAAGTAAAAACAACTTTTAAGATAAAAAGTAAACTACCATAAAAAAAAACCAAAAAAAACCCCAAACAAATGAAATATTTAAAAAAGTAGCAATATTGCAGAAAGAAAAGATCCCCACAAAACTCTTACACTTCTTTATCAAATAATATAAAATATAAGACAACTTGGACATTTTTCAATGTGAATGAATTTGGTTTAAAAAAAGCCATTATATATGGTATGAAATTAGATGAAATCTAAATACAACAGCGGAACAAAAAATAGTGCTTAGAAGTAAGTCATGCCAATGACCTCTCGTTTTGGGAAAATATTTACAAACGAACGAAACACGTAAGGAACCAGAAAAGACTGTGTGGGTGCTAGAAAGGAAGGAAACAATGATCACTCAATCCAAATAAAAAAGTAATTTGATACAGGGGGAAAAACCGAAATTTATTATCATTATACAGAAAATGTGAAAGGTCGGTTAACAAAAGGATATGATCATTTTTGTGTGGAAATTAATATTTTATTGACATGAAATTATGATGGATGATGATTGACAAACAATTAATTTAGACATTTAATGTCTCAGACAATTACTCAGCACGATCTTGTTTACAAGCTGATTAGGTAAGTCTGTCGCACGGGTACACATCAATCATCACTCAATGTTCTTCTTTCGGACTTGCTATATAAAGAAGTCAAAATTATCATTTTAACATTCAGCGTTCACCTACCATAGAAAGTATATCTAGACTAAAGGTAAGTTTTCTTCGTATATTTCTCTTGTTAAAACGCTGTTTTCTCCGTAGTAAAACTGTGTTTTTCCTTTTATCATGGTACGACTTTATCAATTTTTAGAAAGTTTAAGAAACTAAAAAAAAAAATTACAATTCTTATGAGAAAACAGCACCATAACAATAATGCACGATACATTTAGCTCTTTCGGGGAGTAACTGAGTTTTTAAGCCACAGTAACAACAACAGATACAATGTAAATCACATAGCATAAATCTTCTGTTACTCAAGGCATATTTATTCACAACTGATTTTTTCATTATCTTTTTTTTACCGAAATCAAATTGTTTTTGTTCGACTGCCATCCAAAAAAGGTTATTATTTATCTAATATGTCATAATTCAATTTTCTTTCTGTTCCATTTTCTTAAGATTTCAAGTTGTCTTGATAAATGTAAAAGCTGTCCATATTAAAACTAATAAATTCGGTGTGTTAATTATAAATTAACAGAAACATTGTTCGATTCCTTATACATTAATTGGAATAAACTATATTATACTTCGTATTTAGTGATAATCTAAATAGCCTACTGATCATGATGCAAAGTGGTGTAAAAAGAAATTCATATAAATATTAAAAATATTTAGCATGAATCTGATTTACCATTCATAGTTTCGTATAAGATTGCATCACTTAAGTTCCGTAATAAAAGTACCAAAATAAAAATGCAATAATGCCTTTCTTTACACGGATACAGTAGTGACTGTACAATCATTCTTGATGTACATCTGTTAATTTGTATATACAGTACACATCTGTTGAGATGCATATAAACTGACTGTACATCTGTTGAGATGCATATAAACTGACTGTACATCTGTTGAGATGCATATAAACCAGGAACATATATATTGACGTTAGATATACTGTTCCCAGATATAAACTGACTGTACATCTGTTAAGATAAATATTAATATGTACATCTCTAAAGATGCATATAAACTTCTCATTTGGAAAGATATATATTAACTGGGTTTAGACATCTTTGTAGATATACAGTTTGTATACATTATCACAGATGTACAGTTTAAATGCTTTTCAGCGGACGCACATTTCATTCACAGCTTAACAGATGTACCGTTTATTTGCATCTTAACCTGTATACAGTGTATATGCACTTAAATGTAAATCAAGCTTACTTATGTAATACTGTCTATATAAAATGAGAACATCATTATTCACATATGACATACAGGATTTTACATTAGGTTTTCCCATTTTCTGCAGTTTGAAATTTCCGTGACAGGATTTAAAACAATAGTTACAATAATCATTTTAAAGCATTTGTATCACAATCAATTTTAGTTCCTATATTTTCCTGTTTTTTATTTTTTCAGTAGTTAATATTTCACAATGATCAAAGGATTCGTTCTCCTAGCACTTTTAGTGGCTGTTGCCAACTGTACTTACTACAAGGGTGGTTATGGTAAAGGATACGGAGGTGGATTCGGAGGTTTTGGTGGTGGACTAGGAAGAGGTGGATACGGAGGTGGATATGGAGGATATGGTGGATACGGAGGTGGATACGGAGGCATTGGTGGATACGGAGGTGGATACGGAGGTTACGGTGGCGGATATGGTGGTTACGGAGGTGGATACGGAGGCGGATACGGAGGTTACGGAGGTGGATATGGTGGTTACGGAGGTGGATATGGCGGTTACGGAGGTGGTTACGGAAAAGGATACGGAAAGGTAAAATTAATGTATTTCATTAACTTGAGTCTTTCTTTTGTAGAATATCGCATTTAAGTCTTTTTATAATGAGATATGGGATATATATGCACACCTTATTTTTTATTTTAGGAATAATTCTATTTTTTTGGATGCTTTAATCATTTAGATATATTAAATAATTGCATTCTATGATATTTGAAACGAGAAGAATATAAACCTGAGATTTTCTTTCTTTCATTAGTATTAACAATATTTTATATCAAATTTGTGAAGCATACACGAACTTGTTGTTATTGACACACATGTATCTTTCTCTTTGCAGGGACTTTATTAGACAAGGATGGAACTTACTGGTTAAAATGTGAATTCCAAAACCCAAAAGCCAGGACTAGGGAAAACAAATGAAAACCGACCAAATGCCAAAGACGTGACAAAAAACCGACATGAACACTTTAATTATCATTGCATTTGTCATTGTAAATAAAACATTTACAACTTTCTAATGGCTTTTTCTTTTTGAATTTACCTAGCCTGGAGCTTGACATATGAAGTATTATATACATGTGTATATGATTGAAGACCTATGTTAATATTTAGAAGTTTTTCTTGGTCTTATTGTATTGTTTGGTTGTTGTCTCATCGACGAAAGTCCCTATCTATTCTTTAATGCAAATTCCTTTAATCACATTTGTATCATGCCTACACTTCAATAAACATGGAGTGTACAACGTTTCTCTGTTTTCCAAAAAAGGTAACTACTAGTATATTAGTCTGATGCATTTGTCTTTTTACATTTACTTTAATATCACATAAAGTATAAAATAAGGAGATGTGGTATGATTGCCAACAAGATAACTATCCAATAGAGCCCAAAAGACTTGAATTTAAAGTCTATATTTTATTAACAGAGACAATTACGTTCCTGTGTTAAGTAAAAAATGTATTTAGGTATATTTTAAAAAAGAGGAGTGCCTATACAACATCAGCAAAATTAGCAGTAGTCGATGTTTTTTAATAAATGCAAATATACGCCCAAAGGCATTGTAAACGCAGTTCTACATTCAAAGTCCACAAATAATTTCCATCCTTAATCATTATTTGATATTTTTTTCAATCCCTTTAGGATTGAACTCGATGATCTAAGCTTTTTAAAGTTTTGCTCTCAAATAGACAGACCTGAAAATCACTATAGTCATTTTAATTGAACATGGCAATCGAAGGCCTCCCTTTATCAATTTGGTTAATGTGTATTCAGTAACTGATCTGAACATCTGAACTTTTATTGTACGGTACTCGCTGAACTATATCTGTTCTTTCTAACCCTTACGATCGCAATGGAACGAGTATAATTCGTTTGAATAACATAAACAAAAACAAAAACAAAAACCCAGCAGAACTTTGACCAAATATATTTCCGTTTCTTCGTTCGAAAGTTGGGAGTTATATGAATTTTTCTTTTAAAAGGGTCTATATGTCGCACACATTCTAAAATTAAATACCCTTTTCTCCTTCATGGAAATCATTGTGCTAAAATAACAGCTGCACCATGAGTTCATCCAATATTATGAAGTATTTTGAAAAAATACTGATTTGAACGTAAATCTAGACGCACTTGTTTACCCTACCCCTCCGAAATCCAAATTTCGTAAGACTTACTTTAGTTAGTGCGTGATATATTAAAACTACTATTTACGAATCTCGTCCAAAAACAGTCATTCAGACTACAATTCTTAATTTAAACTAAAGGTTGAAGAAAATCACTCGTGACATTTTTTGAGTTATAGTGCTTCATGTTACAATATTGCGTGTTGCTTTTTTTTTAAATGGGGGTCCCGTAACTGTAGAAAGTCAATAGTTGAAATCATCAAAAAGTATGCACCTCGTATATGCAGAAAAAATATGTTTAATTGTATATTGTTCAATTGTTAATCAATACCTGACACTAATAAACTATAATATATTATCATTCTTAGTGATTTTGTGATGTTTTATTACGAAAACCACCGAATATGATAGAGTTGATTAAGGTAAAGACATTTGAAAAAATGCTCCGGAACAGAAAAATAGAATAAAATCGTTAAAAAGTACAAAGATTCTTAAATTGCCATTTTTTAAACGATTAGATATTTGAAAAGTAAATCACTCAGTGAGCCATGCTTGAGCTAGTGCGAGACGTATGAGCTGCATATTTTTCAAGAAGAAAATCTTTACTCTTGAACAGGCTATCATTTCTTATAATTTGATAAAATTTAAAGAATATTACTTATTGAGGAAAACTGGGGTTATGTTTACGGTCTTCTTATAGACAGAAGTGGAGACAATGGTATACCATATAAATACGTCGACGGACGAATAAGAAATCATTATATACCCCGGTACCTTCGTATGGTTGATTGTGAAGCATTTTAATTCAACTATACACGAAAGTTCGTCTCGTTCGAACCTCAACAAGGTAAAAAGTTTACTCTGACACCAACCATTCAATCTATTAAAATATACGAGAATTGCAGATTATGTTGTCAAGTTTGGAGACGCTTACTATTTTCAAAAAAATCCTGGATGTCACGAAATCGCCATGTATATAAATAAAGAGAAACGTTTTGTGATTATTTATTATTGATGTTTTATTGGCTATATATATGTCTCTGTCGATAGTAATGATTAAATGTGTCATACACTCATTTGACGACCAATATATATCAATCTGTTAATGCTCAATCAGTTGTAAATGAACCTTGTGAACTCACTAGTACCTTATATATATATAAAATACAGTACATGTACTCTTAGATCGATACATGTACTTCGTGTCTTTTGTCTTTAAGTTAGTCGTTTTTGTGCCGATTTGATGAGTCAAGCCATTACCAACTGGTTTAACAGTTTATTCATTTGTACTGCTGTTGCATTACTATCCCAGGTTAAGAGAAGGTTGGAGCGCTCACATACATGTTCAACCCCGCCACATTTTATGTGTGCCTGTCCAGATCCCAAATCAGGAGCCGAACATTTAGTGGTTTCTGTTTCTGTTTGTTTATTGTTTTGTCGTATATATATCAGGTTTTCGAGAAAAAAAAACATTTTGTTTGAATTGTTTCACATTTTGTGATCTTTTGTCATGTCGGAGCATTTTATAGTGATCTATAGCTGCTTAAATCCCCTTCATTTGGACTCTGTTGGATAGTTGTCTCATTGGCAATCATACCATATTTCCTTTTTTATAAAGATAATTATATACATCATTTTTGTATTAGATAAAAGTATTACGCTGCATTTTCAACTTTCTCAGTTTATCAAGGACATCAACACATACAGGTTTTTTTTTTTAACTAAAGACACTCTTTAAACCTAATTTAAAAATTAGGGTAAACGGGAGAAATCTGACGAAAAATAAACGATTCTTATTTAAATAAAATGTATGAATTGCATACCTCATTTCAAAATTAATTAAGATTAGAAATAAATTTCAAGTACTAGCAAAGCGTTTTGCGTATTATCGACCGACAAAGCAGTCAACAATGTGGTAGTGGTAAGCTGAAACTACTATAACACACTGTATTATAGAAGTCTCAGTGGTAAGACATAAATACTTTACGGACATTCTAAAGGATGACCTTATAAATTATTCTACATTCAAGGCTATGCGCTCCACAGAGAGTCAAATGGTAAACTATCATACCAACACCACATCTCAGCTTAAGATCCCTACTTTGTATTGGCTATTTAAACAATACTACACAAAAAAACCTGTCAAATATCGTTTTGTTACTATTCTTTCTGTCCCCTTAACTAGTTCCGGACTACAGTTAAAGAGCTTTTTATTGATTTTTGTAATGAACCATTCTAAAATTTTTGGAGTATATAAAGCTCTTCGGATGTTTTGGATGAATTACGTGCTTTTGATGGTCCTTTCAATTGGGATGACAGTTATGACCTTTTGACTCTCTCTACACAACGCTGCGGTAGGTTTAAATAAAATTTTGTAAGAATATATCAATGAAATGAACTGTAGCTGTTGCTGTTGCTATAATATTATATATGAATGTTGAAGAATGTAAGCATTTTTCTTCTTATCAAATCATCAAACAAATAAATTCACATAATTTATTGAGCAAAATAAATACAACATGAAAACCACACAAATATTTACCCATAGAACTTCAGAAGTTAAAAATGAGCAAAACATTACAACAATTTAAATCACAGCCGTGACTTTCTGTCAGTACGACAGGCATAAAGTTTCTTCCGATCATAAAACATATAGGCCTGCTTCAAACTATTACACATTTTTACAGTTTTTTAACATACCTACGGTAATGTACCAGTATTTATATTGTATATAGCATTAACAATACATACAAAAATATAAGCAAATCTTGTTAGATTGCAAATTGTCTACTTTAAGTGATTAAAATTTAAATATATACATGTATGTATATCAAACAGGATATGACGTTCCATGTTCATAATGAGCAAATTTTACTTTGTAAATTCAGCCAGTTGTTTGCCTTTTTAGAACTGAAAAAAAGTATTTTAATGTTTAAATTATGTTCAAAAAGAATGTGACCTTGCAAATACATTTGAACATATATACCAACAAAAATCTCTTAAAAAATAAAACCAACATGAATCTGAAAGAAGAAAACATTTGGTAAAATGCTTGCCTAAATGTAATTCTAACTTCAAGGGTATGATTGCTTACTGAAGGCTGTATCATATATCTATATTACTACCACCAGGGCCATGGCTGGTGGTGAACTGCTAGTTCACAAGGTTACCAGCCTTTCTGTGTTCTGGTTCCTGCACGAATTAAACAATACATACACCCTGTAAATTTTCAGTTTATAAACTATGTAATAATCCTTAAACTGGGTTTTATCTAATTCAGGTTACAAAGTTGACCTCATATAACTTTGGCTATTTTGGTTACTGTAGGCTTTTTCATGTTTATATTGACTGATCGTTGCTTGATTAACATCCAGTGGCAAGTATTTCATGCATATTCAGGACGATTGATGCTCAGAAATAATGCCATAATTTGGATTCCCAAATTTTGGTCTCCAGTCTAACTGATGATATTTATTCTAGAAATTCATATTTAAATAATTCAATTTTGGATGTAACACGTCTTCTAATTGGCTGAAAGTTTTTTGTCTATTAGCTCATAGACATAATTTTGTCATGTGACCGTGACGTCATCAACGTTTTTTCATGATTTACTCCTTAAAAATGGAATTTAGAATTAAATTATAAGGAATGACTGTCATATTTTTTCTGTCTAATCGAAATAACCTCAAAAATGTGGTGCATACTTTTAAATAACCCCGCTACATTGGTTATTTAGTGTACACCACATTTTTGATGTTATTTCTTTTATAGACAGAAAAAATATTAGTCATTCCTTAAATACATCTACATTAGTCCTCAAACCACATAAATGATGAAAGTTAGCAGCTTTATTTACAAATGTTTAACAGTGATGAGGAATCATAAGTCTGTAAGAGTTAAAACATCTCTGGGATATTTAATTTAATTAACATGATGCACATGCTTTAGAAAAAAATATGTTGAATGTATTATCCTATAAAATTTCATTGATATGGACAAACCAAAATACAAGTCATGCATAATTGTTTCCTGTCTTCTGGCAGAAAAAAAATAAGGAAGGACTTAGTAGACCTGTAGGAATGTAAATTATTTTTTTCTAGAACATTTAACACAGAGCTATATTGGGAAATGCACTGTAGACTTTAATAAAGGTGCTTTACCCAAAATGTCCAAAAATATGTGTTAAGATAGACATGAAAATTTAGGGTACACAGTAAATAGAGCTATATTTTTTTGGCCTAACAATAATACCAACTGCATGAAATTTTGAGGTCATTAAATATAAATTTGAAAGTGAAATATCATATTCAAATTTCAGCCTACACAAATAAAACCCAAGTAAATCTATATTCAAAATTGCATTTAAATATTTTTGCTGTTCTTGAAAATTTCTGTCTATAGAAATAATGGCCATTTATGAGAGGGGTTTCACAGCAAAAAAATTAAGTACCCAAGAGTTGTTTATTATACTCAAGAGTAAACATGGTGATAGCGTGACGACTTTAAAATATTAATGTTGTCATGGACTCCAATGTTGTTTTACAAAATTTGAGTATTTTGATAGTTTATATTTTATGCTACATATACTGAACCTTTTCAAAAATAGAGAATTTCTATATATAAACATACAAACAAAATCAGGGCTAAATTTGGTCCAGATATAAGTTTAAACTATAATTCTAGACCATTCTGATCAAATTGAGTTTCACAGGCCAAATATTTTCAGCAACAAAAAACATAAGATTTTGAGGTATTCTGTGTTGGCTGCAATATTGACTTTAGATCCATGTATAATAATCTAAACAACAGTCCTTCCAAACATTTTTTTAAAAAAAGCCATATTAATAATCTTATCCAAATTTTGTTAATCTCAAATAGTCCATATCAAAAGAGGTTCCAGATGAGAACTTCTGAAAAAATTTATGAAGGATCACAAAACATACCAAGTGATTACAAACGCTCAAATGGCATGGTAATTATAACAAATAAAAAACCAAACGGAATGATAGTTGAAATGCTTGAAAAATCATGTTAATCTTTATGAACTTTCATATGCTTTTTTTTATCTTCGTTTGCAGAAAATCTTCTGTCACAGAGTTCACATTTGAAGGGTTTCTCACCAGTATGAACCCTCATATGTATGGTGAGGTGAGAATTTTTTCCACACACTTTATTACAAACCAGACATCTATATTCCTTTATTGTTTTATACTTCCTTGTTCCCTCACCAGTATGTACCTTAGTATGCTCCTTCAGGATATCCTTACGTTTAAATCCACGTCCACATACATCACAAATATGAGGTTTTTTATCACTATGTGTATATCGATGCTTTCCAAGAGAGCTGTGGTGATTGAAAGCTTTACCACATATATCACACATGTATGGTTTATCACCAGTATGTATATTAGTGTGTTCTTTAAGGGTTGCCAAATCAATGAATTTTTTATCACATGAATCACACTCATATTTCCTTACACCAGTATGGGTTGCATAGTGATTTTTCAATCCCTGAAATGTTTTAAAGTGTTTGCTACATATGTCACATGAGAAATCCTTTGTGTGTTTTTTCATATGAAAGTTAACCTCTTCTTTAGGAATTTTTTCCTTGCACAAAGAACAATTTTGCATTTCTTTTTCAGCTAGTGAATCAATTTCAACAACTTGTTTTAAATTGATGTCTACATTTAATTTTGGTTCCTTTTCTACATTTGAAGAATCTTTTATCTCACTTTTTTTGTTACTTGTTGGATTTTCCTCAGGTTCAGCTTTGATGTACATGGTTATTTCTTGACTTAGTGTGCTATAAGACCAATGGGAGGAGTCCTTGTCAACAACATCATTTTGTAATATTGAAACTTCCTCCATTTCAAGTCTGAAAAAGTAAAATAACCAATCAAGCATTCAAATACCATGGGTAGATCAAAGGTTTTGAAAGGAAAGAGGGGTTCTAAATAAATAAAAAAGGCATTTCCGTCATGGTTCACATTTTTTGAGATATAAGAATGTAATAAATTTGGGAGAGACTGGATGTCTTGATTGTTCATATAATTAGAGAGATGCTCATTGTCAAAATCTGAAGCAAATAACAAAGGTATAAACCAGATTTTGCAGGGACGTGGATGTCAAATAAGGTCGTATTTACACCACATATTCTACTCTGGGTACAGAAAAACCTGTGCACCTGGAAACATTTTAAGGGATGGTTGGAACTAGATAAATAAAATTCAAATCATTTTAAGTTTCAAAATAGTAAAAATTTAACTTTATTTTGATGTTCATGTTCAGAAGGGGCTAAAAAAAACTAAGTTGGAAGAGATGTTTGAGAAGCTACCCTCAAATAATAAATGTAGTGAACTGTATTGATTGACATGGACAATAGATATCTGCTAAGATAGGCGATTTAAACTGTTGAACTGAGTGGACCATATTAAGTGAAACTCAGGCTATGTTAATTTTGCCATCTCTGCAGACTTGAAAAAAATGCTCATCAAAAACCAGGTAAGTTTTTACTTTTCTGCATTATAAAGTGCAAATAAATTTTGTATATCAAGGTCTCCATATAATGTGAATCCTCATGAAACATCCATGTAATGTGAATCCTCATGAAACATCCATGTAATGTGAATCCTGATGAAACCTCCATGTAGTGAAATTATTCTTTAAATTTGATGTTCTTGTTTTAAAAATATTTGTTTAAAAGTAAAAGACAATGATTATTAAACCATTATACTCAAATTTCATTTTAAAGAAAATCATAATTACCCATAATTCTCATTTCTGTCTCATTCTTGTAAGTACAAAAGTAACTAATGACATGAGCCACTTACATTTGTATAGTTCAGTGACACTCAGTTTGACAGTCAATCAGTCTTCAGAATGTATACTGTTCATGTCAGCAATTTTGCTTTTGTAATTTTGAGTTCCTCTGTCTAAGAAAGTATTGCCCACCACTTTTCTTTTCATAATGTCATTAAGGTTCATCAAAAGGAATTGACAAATATGGCCGTGTTTACACCACAAAATCTACTCTGAGTACAGACTAACCTGGGCATCTAACAAAGTTTTAAGGCATGGCTATCCATGACAATGTTACAACTTTTGGTAGGAATATTCAAAACCAACCAACCAACCAAAAAGCTTGATCAACACATAATTACCTAGTTTTGTGTTGAGAATTGAATTCTTTTGGTGAGGTTTTATGATAAGGACTGTTAAATCGTTTACTGTGCACATATTTAGTATGAAGTGCTTCTGCGCATTATACAAAATAATGCACCTTGGTCAACAATTTCATATCCCAGTAAAACTAGGAAAAGAAGCATTCAATTCTTTAATCAAAGAATTTGTGATTGGTCAGGAAGATAACTAATTTAAAGTTGTTTTTCTCTGATTCACTTTTTATTTCCTGACTTTAACAAAACTTATCTCCCTTGAAAATATTTTGATTTTCTTATCATCCTTTCCCAATACCACCCTCCATTTACTTAACAATAATTTAATTTATTGTTTACATTAAATGTATATAAAAAAGTAAATTTGCAATCCAATATTTCCTGACAACTAGCACTGTTACCTTATTTTTACATTTTGAATGCATAAACATTTAACAATTAAAGAAATTTATTTACATGAACATGATGAAGGGTATGTTTCAGTGAGAAAGATTAACAGAATAAAGTGTAAATAAATTTCTTCGCTGAGCGCAGCTGTATACGACCGCAGATGTCCAACCCTGAAAAGTTGGGGCCAAAATAGACACAATATTCATGCTTGATACAGGTCTGAATTTGGATTGTAATTAAATTTTTGACACAAAATAACTGTTGTCAAAGAACTTCAAATTGGTTATATAATTTGAATTTATATTCAATTTTTTGCTTTTGTGCAATACACTATGCAAATTGCCCCCCCCCCCCCCCCAAAAAAAAATTTTACCCCGTTTTTTTTGCGTTTGTGCAATACACTATGCTGTTGAATATTAACCCCCCAAACAAAAATATTTGAAGAAATTTTCTTTTAATTTCTGAAATCTGAAATGAGAAAAATTGTCCCCCTCCAATTTTTTTCACCCTCCCCCCCTTTCCCTTATTCCAAAAAATAATTTTTTCCCTCAAGTTATGGTCAGTATCTCAGACAATCATCATTTCTTAATACATAATTTACAAGCAGTGTAAGGGAGGTAATCAAACATTGTTATTTAAATTGATTTGGATTTTGATTTTGATTACCTCCCTTACACTGCTTTTAAATTGTCTCAATTGTCCTTTAACCAGAAAAACCCTTGTTTTTCCCCCTTTTTTGCCCCTTATTCCTAAATGGTTTGAGCCATAACCCCCCAAAGTCAATCCTAACCATCCCTTTCTAGTATGGAAACTTGTGGTATAATTTCAGAGAGATTCATACACTTTAACACAAGTTATTGTCTGGAAACTACAAAAATGCTTATTTGGGCCCCTTTTTTGGCCCCTAATTCCTACACAGTTGGGACCATAACTCTCAAAATCAATCCCAACCTTCCTTTAGTGGTTATAAACCTTGTGTTAAAATTTTATTGATTTCTATTTACTTATACTAAAGTTATTATCCGGAAACCATCTGTCTTCGGACGACGCTGACGACGACAACGACGATGACGACAACGTGATACCAATATACAACCAAAAAATTTTTAATTTTTGCAGTCGTATAAAAAGCAGTATTGCTTTTCGTACAACTTGTTTATTCTGAATGAGATTTTTTAGATTTTTTTTACCTGCATTGTACATCGATGTACTATATATTTCTTGATTATTCAAGATTCTAACATAGAGGTTAACAGAATTTTATTTAGATCAAACTTTTATGGATCATCTTATTTGAAATAAAATAATTAACGTTTATAAAAGAGCAATATAAAAACATAATCTGATTATATGATTTATATATTCAAATGTTAAAATTATTCTTGCAAAGTAACAAATAAAAAAAAATATCTGTAAGCATCAAAATGAAACTGGCCTCTAGTTTTGATGTAATAGGTTGTGCTAAATGTCTAGTCGAAAATCATTAATGAACATTCAAGACAAAAAAAAAATGATTGGAATTTTGGTGTGACCAAAAAATTCTCTCTTCACAATTAAAATCTTCATATTCGGAACTATGAGGGAGCTATAGCATAAAGTTCACTAGGAATGAGTTGGTATGTACTGTATGTTTTTGTTTGGTTTAGACAGTGGTTCTGTTGATACAGAACAAGTTACTGGAGAGTACTTCTGTATGTTTTTGTTTGGTTTAGACAGTGGTTCCGTTGATACAAAACAAGTTACTGGAGAGTACTTACTGTATGTTTTTGTTTGGTTTAGACAGTGGTTCCATTAATACAGAACAAGTTACTGGAGAGTACTTACTGTATGTTTTTGTTTGGTTTAGACAGTGGTTCCGTTGATACAGAACAAGTTACTGGAGAGTACTTACTGTGTGTTTTTGTTTGGTTTAGACAGTGGTTCCGTTGATACAAAACAAGTTACTGGAGAGTACTTACTGTATGTTTTTGTTTGGTTTATACAGTGGTTCCGTTGATACAGACAAATTTCTAGAGAGTACTTACTGTATGTTTTTGTTTGGTTTAGACAGTGGTTCTGTTGCTACAGACAAATTACTAGACAGTACTTACTGTATGTTTTTGTTTGGTTTAGACAGTGGTTCCGTTGATACAGAACAAGTTACTGGAGAGTACTTACTGTGTGTTTTTGTTTGGTTTAGACAGTGGTTCCATTAATACAGAACAAGTTACTGGAGAGTACTTACTGTATGTTTTTGTTTGGTTTAGACAGTGGTTCCGTTGATACAGAACAAGTTACTGGAGAGTACTTACTGTGTGTTTTTGTTTGGTTTAGACAGTGGTTCCGTTGATACAAAACAAGTTACTGGAGAGTACTTACTGTATGTTTTTGTTTGGTTTAGACAGTGGTTCCGTTGATACAGACAAATTTCTAGAGAGTACTTACTGTATGTTTTTGTTTGGTTTAGACAGTGGTTCTGTTGCTACAGACAAATTACTAGAGAGTACTTACTGTATGTTTTTGTTTGGTTTAGACAGTGGTTCCGTTGATACAGAACAAGTTACTGGAGAGTACTTACTGTGTGTTTTTGTTTGGTTTAGACAGTGGTTCCGTTGATACAAAACAAGTTACTGGAGAGTACTTACTGTATGTTTTTGTTTGGTTTAGACAGTGGTTCCGTTGATACAGACAAATTTCTAGAGAGTACTTACTGTATGTTTTTGTTTGGTTTAGACAGTGGTTCTGTTGCTACAGACAAATTACTAGAGAGTACTTACTGTATGTTTTTGTTTGGTTTAGACAGTGGTTCCGTTGATACAGAACAAGTTACTGGAGAGTACTTACTGTATGGTTTTGTTTGGTTTAGACAGTGGTTCCGTTGATACAAAACAAGTTACTGGAGAGTACTTACTGTATGTTTTTGTTTGGTTTAGACAGTGGTTCCGCTGATACAGACAAATTACTAGAGAGTACTTACTGTATGTTTTTGTTTGGTTTAGACAGTGGTTCCGTTGATACAGAACAAGTTACTGGAGAGTACTTACTGTGTGTTTTTGTTTGGTTTAGACAGTGGTTCCGTTGATACAAAACAAGTTACTGGAGAGTACTTACTGTATGTTTTTGTTTGGTTTAGACAGTGGTTCCGTTGATACAGACAAATTTCTAGAGAGTACTTACTGTATGTTTTTGTTTGGTTTAGACAGTGGTTCTGTTGCTACAGACAAATTACTAGAGAGTACTTACTGTATGTTTTTGTTTGGTTTAGACAGTGGTTCCGTTGATACAGAACAAGTTACTGGAGAGTACTTACTGTATGGTTTTGTTTGGTTTAGACAGTGGTTCCGTTGATACAGAACAAGTTACTGGAGAGTACTTACTGTATGTTTTTGTTTGGTTTAGACAGTGGTTCCGTTGATACAGACAAATTACTGGAGAGTACTTACTGTATGTTTTTGTTTGGTTTAGACAGTGGTTCCGTTGATACAGAACAAGTTACTGGAGAAGACTTACTGTATGTTTTTGTTTGGTTTAGACAGTGGTTCCGTTGATACAGAACAAGTTACTGGAGAGTACTTACTGTATGTTTTTGTTTGGTTTAGACACTGGTTCCGTTGATACAGAACAAGTTACTAGAGAGTACTTACTGTATGTTTTTGTTTGGTTTATACAGTGGTTCTGTTGATACAGACAAATTACTAGAGAGTACTTACTGTATTGTTTTGTTTGGTTTAGACAGTGGTTCCGTTGATACAGAACAAGTTACTGGAGAGTACTTACTGTATGTTTTTGTTTGGTTTAGACAGTGGTTCTGTTGATACAGACAAATTACTAGAGAGTACTTACTGTATGTTTTGTTTGGTTTAGACAGTGGTTCTGTTGATACAGACAAATTTCTAGAGAGTACTTACTGTATGTTTTTGTTTGGTTTAGACAGTGGTTCTGTTGATACAGAACAAGTTACTGGAGAGTACTTACTGTATGTTTTTGTTTGGTTTAGACAGTGGTTCTGTTGATACAGAACAAGTTACTAGAGAGTACTTACTGTATGTTTTTGTTTGGTTTAGACACTGGTTCCGTTGATACAGAACAAGTTACTGGAGAGTACTTACTGTATGTTTTTGTTTGGTTTAGACAGTGGTTCTGTTGATACAGACAAATTAAGAGAGTACTTACTGTATGTTTTTGTTTGGTTTAGACAGTGGTTCTGTTGATACAGAACAAGTAACTGGAAAGTACTTACTGTATGTTTTTGTTTGGTTTAGACAGTGGTTCCGTTGATACAAAACAAGTTACTGGAGAGTACTTACTGTATGTTTTTGTTTGGTTTAGACAGTGGTTCCATTAATACAGAACAAGTTACTGGAGAGTACTTACTGTATGTTTTTGTTTGGTTTAGACAGTGGTTCCGTTGATACAGAACAAGTTACTGGAGAGTACTTACTGTGTGTTTTTGTTTGGTTTAGACAGTGGTTCCGTTGATACAGAACAAGTTATTGGAGAGTACTTACTGTATGTTTTTGTTTGGTTTAGACAGTGGTTCCGTTGATACAGACAAATTTCTAGAGAGTACTTACTGTATGTTTTTGTTTGGTTTAGACAGTGGTTCTGTTGCTACAGACAAATTACTAGAGAGTACTTACTGTATGTTTTTGTTTGGTTTAGACAGTGGTTCCGTTGATACAGAACAAGTTACTGGAGAGTACTTACTGTATGTTTTTGTTTGGTTTAGACAGTGGTTCCGTTGATACCGACAAATTACTAGAGAGTACTTACTGTATGTTTTTGTTTGGTTTAGACAGTGGTTCCGTTGATACAGAACAAGTTACTGGAGAGTACTTACTGTATGTTTTTGTTTGGTTTAGACAGTGGTTCCGTTGATACAGACAAATTACTGGAGAGTACTTACTGTATGTTTTTGTTTGGTTTAGACAGTGGTTCCGTTGATACAGAACAAGTTACTGTAGAAGACTTACTGTATGTTTTTGTTTGGTTTAGACAGTGGTTCCGTTGATACAGAACAAGTTACTGGAGAGTACTTACTGTATGTTTTTGTTTGGTTTAGACAGTGGTTCCATTGATACAGAACAAGTTACTGGAGAAGACTTACTGTATATATTTGTCCCAATAATGCAAATCAGCTTACAATGGTTTTTTTTGTTTCATGAAGGTTCCAGTTTAGGCAAGTCTCATTTTCTCCCCCAGCATCTTCAAATAGCACCATTGGATTTAGCACTATTACCCTAAAATTATAGCACTACATTTACAATATATTGCATATATAAAATCTGTTTAGAAAGCACAATGGATCAAATTTAGCAGAATTGGTGAGGTCACTACTTTCTTTGTATATTATAAATTCATTCATTTTCCTTGGCATGTATTTTTGTTGAATAAGGAAAAAATGTATTTTCTTGGTTTACAAAAAAAATGTAAATATTCAATTCTTGATATAATCCTTTAGAAAACTTTCATTCTGTTGAACACCTAATACAGGAAAACAACAAATTATACTTTGCAAACATTTTCAATAAAATTGAGATGGGATTGACCTATTGCATATTGCATATTATTTTTACTTGTACATAAATATAAACTTGAAATGTTCAAATCTTAAGTGAATAAGCATAATTCATTTTTCTTTATATTTAATGCTAAAAAATGTGTTGTTCAAATAAAGTATTCTCAAATGACGCATGAAGTGGAAAAAATTTCTTTAAGTTTGCATAGGTCCACGTAAAATCTCCAATTATTCCTGAAATAGGTAGGGTAACATAATTATGGAGGGGTATATTATGTGAAGAACAACTTACCATATTATATATTTAAAAATTATAGACCCTAAATCATTTGGACATGCAATTAGGTTTAAAAAGATGACTTCCCCATGCATTATATCAATACATTGTACATGACAAATATGACAAAAGAAAATAAGAAAAGCCCGATTTATTTTAAACAAAATCAAACCCAAATCTGAAACTATGATAATGGAGTTGTCTCTCTTTGTCCAAATCTAGCTGGATGTCCTCAACACTTTCATTGTAACATGATTTATGATCAAAGTCTTAATCAATCAATACACTATTATTGTCTTATGTGTATTGTTTAGTTTGTTTTTTATGTTGAATCTGGCCTTCCTTGACTACTACAGTATCTCGATAACTTCTGACGTTCTGTGTTTGTTTATCTTTATGAACTACAATTCTTAAAATTTTAGATAACAAATGTTCTGAATAGTATACCTTCACAGACTTTACTAGTTCAAAGGAGAGCGAAATTGTTGATCGTGGCATTTCATTCGATGCAACGGCATGGAAAAACATATTATGCAGCGTCCTTCATTTTGACCATTTGAATATAATATTAGTATGTGAACGGAATAGCTCCATGATGTTCCGCTTTGACAATATTCCAGCCTGAGACATATATATATATATATATAAATGACTCAGAGTCAGATATACTAGCATAGATATATAGACAATATAATTTATTATGACATTAATAAGTCCTATCAGAGACATATAATCTGATAATACAATGTATTATATGTCTCTGGTCCTATTTCACATGACTTTGCAATTAGAATTCTGTTTCATACGTCTCCATAAAACCATGTGATTGGTTAATAGATTTATTTTTCAGCTTAGTACCATAGTTGGGGTGACGTCTGATGTTTCAAAGTTCTTGCTCCCGCTGTTTTTTTCACTTTATTATACAACATGTGAAATATTCATACTGGTATTATTCTGACTGTTAGGAAATCGATCTCACCATAGATTTATAGGTTTATACATCTATGATCTCACCGGGCGTGCTAATTATTATCGTTATTGAAAAAGCGCTTTATGCCCATATGGGCCTTACAAACATACATATATAACAAACAATGAAAATAAACAATACATGTATACATCTTACAATAATCATTTTTATTTATCTCTCTCTCCCTATATAGGCCTACACACAGATTGAAATATTTTCAAGGATTCCCTGCCCTCAGTCTTAGTGACTTTTTTAAAAAGGAGTCTAATTTGTTGGTATCCTATTTTGTTTCAGGATTAAGAATTTGTTTTAATTTATGTAACATATGGTATACTTACGTCGAAGGTTCATCACGTTATAGCAACAACAGATATCAAGCGGAAGTTTCCATTGTACATACGGATGGCATCTAGTTGCATGTGTAATACGTGTTACTGTTAAAGAATCCTGTCACACAAATGGTATTACCTTAAGACAAATTGAATATGTGATATGATATCAGTTATGATCCTATACAACACGATAACTTTAGGTCATTTTAATAATGTACTGTTCTCCTTTGATATAAAAGAAAGCTTGAGGCCATTGTGTGGTACATAACTCATGTACTCTGATGTTCCCATTGGCTTTTGTTTCAGTGTTTCACAATGATATTGTCGTACAAACTATAATCATATGAGTTAGATTTCTTTGCTCGTTTATTCTGTAATTTTTAGATGTTACCTTGCATTTGTGATCTTCAAAGCAATGATCAGCGCTAGTCTTTCAGTGCTAAAGAGCTGTTTGTTTGTTGGTGTTTAAAACACTTCCGACCTAAGCTGTTTGATGGTACCAGTTTTGTTGTTGGTAGAGGAAGTCGGAATGCCCGGAGGAGACCACCGATCAACAGTCAATTATTCCTACACATGAAACAATTTTGCTGGTATTCTACCTGCAAGCACTAACTTTTCTATACAATAAAATAAATACAGGCTTATTAGCTTCATCATCATTATACCAAAAGAAAAAAAAAGAAGCGACATGACACTATTTCTAGAGTAAAAAACAGTGTACGCAAAAACGCGGCGAAAATTGTAAACATTTAAAATGTTGTTGCGTAAAAAAAACCATGGGGATTTTCAAAAGTTGTCAGTATGGTAACATGGCTATTATGCATGCTTTTACTTTATTAAAAAGAGCAACATGACAGACGCTATTTGTGAAGCACGATCTTACCCATTCCGGAGCACATGAAATGGCTTTTTGTCGTCTTTCGATTTTTCCCCATTGCATTGTCAGTTTCTCTTCGACTTTGAATGTCCCCTTGGTATTTTCCGCCTCTTTTTGTATAACCAATGGCGTCCTCGCGGATATTGTACGAAATATTTAAGATTTTAATTGGGAAGAGAGCTATTTTTGTCATCATATTTAGCTACCATTGCCGGGGCTTTTCATCATTTCTATACGTACTTCGATATGTATTGTGAATTCGCCAATGCTTGTAGTCAGTTGTAGAGAAATCAATCATGAGTTCAATCTAAACACAGGCAAGGTCCTTTGTCGGTCTAGGAATACTCTTCTGTAAAAAACTTTACGATGAACGACAACAGTTGTACACTTTCGTTACATTTTTAATTTATTTCAATGCATTTTCAGTTAAGTAACAAATAGAAATCTTTTTTGACTGGAATCATACAGTTGAAATATTTTCAGAAATCAGAACCGCACCTTAACACTGCTATCTTTCAGTTTGATTAATTGCATGTCGTTATGATAATCATATCAACTTGGAAAATACATTTAACTCTATTAATAAGAGAAAATATTTATACAAAATGCTGAAATAAATTTCATTAAACCCATTCCGCCACCCAAAACAAAGAGCATGAACAGTAGCTTGTACCTATTATCAAACAAATGCAGTTAACTTAAATGTGAAAAAAAAAACAATTAAGTATCAAGAGTGGGCGGCAATGGTTCTTCAAGTTTTGTCCAATCCATTCTATGTAATGTAATTGATTGTAATGTGCTTATCTTACGAAGCAAGAAACAGAATATTCATTGCATATCCGTTTTTGTTGTCATATGAAATTACTACTTAACTCAAATACACGATCACTTTTAAGTTCTACGGAAATATATTCTTTACCAGACCATAGATTCTTAAACATAAATCTGACATGTATAGGCTCTAACTCTAACATATGAGACTTGAACATTCCCGTAATTCTGACATATAGAAATTGTACAGGTCCTTGGGTTCTATAGAAAAGTGAAATAACAACAAATTTCAACTTTAATTGTCAATATTTGACGCAAAATCCGACTTTAAATGTGCTCAATTCTTTTTTTTTTCAAAAGGGGTGCGATCACATTCCTCGCCACCACATGTGTACGGGTCTCTTATATAAAATACTTATTTGTTCTTTATAACAGACAAACAGCCAACACTATATGATTTAGTAGTTTGTAAATGACACACTAGGAAAACAAAAGATGTATAAATACATCGTGATTTATAAATCAAATATGTTTATGAACAAAATCAGACCCCCTGGAGGTAATTTCAAATGTACAGTTTATACACACGATTACAGATTATAGCTGCCATATAATATAAACGGTACCAATTTTAATGTCTTTTACCAATGTGTATTTTGTTTATTTTATTTTGTCACAAATCAGGCCGTTGGGTCGTTTCACATTTATTCATGTCGGGGCTTTTTAAACTGACTATATATGGTTTTGGTTTTGTTCATTTTTGAAGGCCGAATGGTGACCTATTTATAGTTGCTTAAATCCACGTCATTTGGACTCTGTTGGATAGTTGTAGCAATGGCAATCATACCCACATCTCCTTATCTTTATATAATTTTCTTACATTGTCCCAGATTAGGCTTAAGGTTGAGTGCTCAAAACATGTTTATTCCTGTCACGTTATTTATGTCTCTGTCCCAAGTATGTAGTCATGGTTGTAGATGGTTGTAGTCTGCCAACATTTGTTTTTTTGTTATTGAATGTTATGACCTTGAATGATGTTTTACGTTTTCTCTTTTGAATTATTTCACATGTTGTTATCTCATGGCCTTTTATCTTTATCTTGCTTTTCAGAATGTGTTGCGCTCATTGCTGAGGGCCTTACGGTGACCTGTTAGTTATTTACATTTTTGCTCTATAGTTAACGTTGAAATCATATGAAATCATTTGGTTTTTGTCCTATGAAAAACATTATTTGCAGAGACATTTTTTCTGTGATTGGCCATTTTTTTTAAAATCTTCTCTGAAACCATACAGCGATAATTGTTTTTTCGAAACTTGAGGATTTTCACAAATTTTTATCAAAATTGGGCTGACATTATCTTCTTTTCTTTGGTCTATAATACTGTGTATAGATACCAGGTGTGCGGTACAATCTTCTTTTAAACCAAACTTCTAGTTGGGTAAGTCTGTTGCTCATAACTTAATATATTTCCCAATGGTATGATATCAAAATAAGGAAATTTTCACAGTTTTAAGAATTGTTCATCTTAACCCGATTTATTTTAGTTTAACTTATAAAGTAATAACAGGATCATCCTCATTCATAACTTCCCTTCTCTTGACATCCCCCTTGACATAAGTGTACTATATTTATCTTGTTTTCCGTATTTCAATAAAAATAGTATAATGTCGTGTGATGACTGTGCCTACTTAGAAGCAGAACTGATGCAGTTAAGAGATTGCACTTAAGACATGAAGGGTGTGTTGTTTTCAATTCACGATCAGCTCCTCAAATTATTTACAAGGTTCGTCACTATTGTGTTTACTTCCTACATAAATTAGTATACTTTATAAACAAAATTTGGACATTTTGTCGTTTATCCGTCTGTTCTTCTAAAACTGTCTTTAAAATCATTAAATGGCATAATGAAAAAAACTTGACAAAACGGAATTCCATAAATCCGCTCTAATAAACTAAAGGCCATAAAAAAATTATTCTTTCTGTAAAATAAAGTTCGATTCGAGAAATGCAGTCTGTTTAAAAAAACAATAACAAAATACAAGGTCGCTACATGTAAAGTTGATCCTAAACGATCAGGGCAGTTATATTTAGGACTTTATTTTTTGTTTTCACAAGACAACTTCCTTGAAGCTCCTAAATGATGAAAATTCTTGACTTTCAAAACATTTGCCGGATAATTTTAGACTGAAGCACACGCACGTTACGAGAAATGAAATTGGTTTCACACGTTATTAATACTTCATCTATATTTATGTTTTAATCATTCCTTCAAAATTAAGTTTATCCTCCAAATTACAAGCTTCTATTACCGAAAGAGTGTTAAAAAAAATATTTAGAACAATTTTAGTGTTTTTTATGTTTGAAACATGTGATTTAAATATATCCTATGCCAAAAAAACCATCCGTGATTCAACAAAATACATTGGTATATTCTGAAACAATCACTTCATAAATGTAATAACAAATTTTCGTTCATTATTTTACATGCACCTTTCTATCAAAAGTTGTGACTCAGAACAGTGCAAACATGTATATCACATAAGAATTGAATGCTCCTTTTTGTAATTTTATTGGGTGTTTTAAAGCCCCAGTCACACATTCGGGATTTTTACTGCCGTCCTTGATAAGATCATTCCCGATTAAAATATTTCAGAAGTCTGATCCAAATTGTATGATTCGTGGCTGGCAATCAGATATTGTTCAGGAAGCGTCCTGTTTATCCTGTTCTCAATCCATTTCTCATCTGACTTCAGTAACTTTCGCATGGTAAAAAAGACCGAATCTGCCCAAACAGCGTCCCGATTCTCCCGAATGCGATCAGATAGAGACCAAACAGTGACCAGACAGTGAACCGATACAAAAGAGTCTGTCACAACATAGTGACGATTGTAATCCGACACGACAAATCGGCCCCGAAGGTTACACGACGTACCTAACTGTCTGCAGTGATTTGCAGACCTCTTCGGACCTTTCTCGATCTGTAGGACTCTGCTACGAATGTATACGATTGCTTTCAGACTATATGATAGGACATTCCAGATCATAGTAATCTCACTTTTTTCACTTTTTGCGTGGTAGCAAAACCGAAAGCGCATAATTCGTACTAAAACTTCTTTACGATCAACGCCGCGATTCTTGTTAAAGACGCACAAACAAAAACTGTTCATAAAACAGTACATAAAACTATATTACGCATCAAAATAAAATCGTACAAAATGCCACTTTTGAATTGTTAATCGGATGAGTTGCTTTGCCAATATTCAGAAGACATGATGCTTCCGAGTATAATGAGGTCAGTACAATAATGTAACAAGGAAGTCTCTTTAAAGTACGTGTATAAAAACAAATACTTAATCGTAATTGGATATATATATTAATAATAAGAAGTGGAACCTAAAATTTTTCATTTTATTTTTCTAAGTAGAATTTTATATACAAGTAGAAAAATATCATGAAAACTGAGGATTATGGATTTAGAAAATATCTATAGATGGATACTAGCTTTCTCGTCCTTTTATGGTTGGTATTTTGTTTATTTCGGACAACCGTATTTAACGTATCGTAGCAGACGCAGATCCAGAATTTTTAAAGGAGGTTCTTTTGTTTCAAATTATAAAAGGATGATATCAACTCACGGAACTACAGCCGTTGATAATCTAGCGGGGTTTAACCTTTGCGATTTCAAAAAACACATGGTTCGCCACGTTTTATTTTCGCGTTTTTCTTACCCTTAATTATAACCTTGAATGAAGATCAAATTCACGTGAGAACATATTTTAGCATTTTTATGGTAATCGCGGAATTAGCGAAAATTTCCCACTTTACAGCAAATGAATTTGATAATATGTATATTTTTATTGCAGGTTATGAGACAACAGTTTATATAAGAGGAATTATTGATTCAACCATTACATTAAACTGTTCTCTACGGGGACTTTCAACTGAACACAGTATAATTTGGAAGGGACCTCCTAATGAAACCAACTATTGCATTCAGAACCATCTCTATTTAAATAACATCCCGAAATACTTGAAACCGAGGTTGAAAATAGTTGGAAACTTTAACAAAGGATTTTACAATCTTCAGATCAAAGACCTACATTTATCTGACGAAGGGTTTTACATGTGTCATCAATTTCGATCTAAGCACAATGAATACTTCTATTTAGATGTAATTGGTATGTACTAATTTTATTCTCGTTTTTTAGCTCATCTGCACCGAATCACCGTGTGACCTATTACTTTGCATCTTTCGTTCGTCCTTCGTCGTCGGCGTTAAATTTTAAAACTCAACAGTCTACTGGACCATCAAGTTTGTTAATTTAATTCAACAATAAACATGGCCGTTCTTGCAAAAATAGAACAAATGATAATCAAATATTTTGGCTAATATCTAAAAAAATAATTATATAAGAGGTAAATAAAAACAGTAACCTTGTTTGAAACCAGAATGCCATAGTCTTCCTTTGATTCTATTTTACCGGAATAGACTATTTTCATACTACGGTTACCGACTTTTGATCGGGAGTTTATAATTTTTCGACAGGTTACGTCTTACTCGGTCAAGTAAGAGCAAATAAAAAAAGTAAAATCAAGCCTACAGTCGGTGCAATTTGGGGGTAAAATTAACTTGTTTTAATTTGCTCTACACGAAAAAAAACATCAGAAAAAAGTGACCCCCCTCCCCCAATAATCCGATTGTAAGCTTGATTTTACTCCTTTTAGCCCTTACTGGACCAAGTACCAGAATGTCCTACCAAAAAGTGAGACCTGTGGGAAAACTCCAGAGTCAACAGTCGGTAATATGAAAATAATAGTCTTTTGTCAATTTTACTCGATATTGCTAGTTATTGCCCTTAAGGTCAAGGTACAGTAAATGGGCTATGTCACAAATTTTTAAATTTAGTAAAATTTTGCATACAACTTTGGCTCGTTGAACTATAACTGAAAATCGAAAAAATAATGCATTTATCTCTTTTTATCAACTGAAATATTACTGATTGAATTCTTTCAACATAGATGAACATTTATTTTATATCAACAAAATCATTAAAACGGAAAAATTATGTATCAACAACAAGTTTTTTTTAAAGATAAATCTATATATTGGAGATAAGAGAATGATTTTAAGACAAATTTAAGAAGGTTTTTCGCCGATTTTATGTGCTTTCTATATAAATGTTCACCTATTTTGAAAGAACTCAAACAGTAAAATTTCAGATAATAAAAGAGATAAATGCATAATTTTTTCCGATTTTCAGTTTTAGTTCGAGCCAAGGTTATATGCAAAATTTTAGCAAAATCTGTGACATAGCCCATTTACTAAATGAAGATTTTGCCTTTTTTTGTTGCTTTTATCTTGAAAATTTAATTGATAGGGAGAAACTTTAAACTAAAGGCACTCATAATCAACGAGACAAGATCTACAATGACAATTTTTACACATTTTTTTTTCATTTTTTGGTAATTTTCTTTGCTTTCATAATTTTGGGTTTTAGCATTACTGGTAAAGGTAAATTCAGGAAAGCGCTTCGAAACACGGCTGTGGATGAAATACTTGTCCCAAAAGTATCATCAGCTCACTAGTCAGTGGTTCGGTACTGACATGATTTACAACATACCTTTCTTAAAATCTTAGTAGATAAATTTAAAAATTATTAAGATATTGAGGTTCCAACTCCTTTAGGCATGACCTTACATGAGTTTGTCTTTTGTTTTTGGGTCGCTTTATATCATGTTTACCTCCCCAATTATAAGTATTCAAGTATTTATAAATCCTTGGCTTTCAAAGTTTTGGGTATGACAAAGAAATGTCAAATTACGTGCCTTTTTAGTAAAGAAAACACACGAGCACGGTGAACCCCCTTTTCATTGCATATTTGAATTCAGTATAAAAGAAATCTTCAAAATCTATGAAAATAAAAATAAACTAGAGGCTCTAAAGAGCCTGTGTCGCTCACCTAGGTCTATGTGCATCTTCAACATTGTAGACTGCTGTTTACAGTTTCTCTCTTATTTAGTTTTTGCCCAAAACACAAAAGAGGAAAAACAAATTGTTATTTAAGGGTAATCATGCACTCCTATTTACTAACTTTTTTGGCAGAATTTGACCTGACTGTAAATATTGGCTTGCTGATCATTTTTGTTATTTAAAGTTTCTACCTATCTTTTATAGTTTTTAAGATAATAGGCAACAAGAATGTGTCCATAGTACACGGATGCCCAACTCGTACTATCATTTTCTATGTTCAGTGGACCGTGAAATTGGGGTCAAAACTCTAATTTGGCATTAAAATTAGAAAGATCATATCATATGGAACATGTGTACTAAGTTTCAAGTTGATTGGACTTCAACTTCATCAAAAACTAACTTGACCAAAAACTTTAATCCGAAACGGGACAGACAGACGGACGGACGAACGGACTCTCAGACCGAAAAACATAATGCCCCTCTACTATCGTAGGTGGGGCATAAAAACGCAAAACAATTGGTAAAAATCGTCATTAAAGAGCAAGAACTTCAATAACCAGTCCACTGTAGAATTCGGCTATTAGACTTATTTGTAGATCTTGTCTACTGATCACTTACGCTGTTTAAAGTTTCTATCTATCTATTGTAGTTTTTAAGATATTAGGCAAAAACACAAAAGAAATGGTGAAAATTGTCATTTAAGGGCAATACTTCTAATAAGGATTCGATTCACGATTTCCGCTATATTAACTTATGTCTCATTGGCACTCACACCACATCTTCTTATTTCTATTATTTGAAGATCTTGTCTTAATGATCAGTTTTGCTGTTTAAAGTTTCTCTTCTTCTATTATAATAGTTTTCAAGATAATAGGCATAATAGAAAAATTGTAGTAAAATTCGTCATTTTAGGACAATAACTCCAATAAGAAATTGTTTAACAATTTTGACGTAAATAAGTAATGGGTAGAGCTCAACATTCGGAACTTTTTTGCCCCTGTCAGATTTTTTCTATTTATAGCGGTTTTCAAAATAATAGACAAAACTTACATTTTACCCCTATGTGCAAATTTTAGCCATGTCGGCCATCTTGATTGGCAAGCGGGGTCATCGGACACATTTTTTTAACTTGATACCCTAATTATGATTGTGGCAAAGTTTGGTAAAATTTGGCTCTGTAGTTTCAGAGTAGATGATCTTTGTAAAAGTTAACGGACGACGGACTCCAAGTGATGGGAAAAGCTCACGAACGGTCAGGTGAGCTAAAAACATCAGAGGTCATTTTTTGGGTGGGTCATCTTAACGTAACTTCTACTAAGAAAAATGGAACGAGTTTAAAAGTTGATGCAACGTCTTTTTATTATTTTAACAAAGTTTAGCTCGGGTTTTCTGGCTGAGGTAACGTCTGTAATTTCCCGAAGATCTGTTTGTAAATAAAAATTAACTACCGGTATTCTAAAATGTTTTGAGTACTGTGGTTATTTATCAAATAGTTTCGAATCTTAGATAAAAAAAAGGTCAACCACATGTTTATATAGCTTCTGATGAATGGTTGTAACCTTTCAAAAGTAGCATGCTATTTAAAAAAGAGAGAAAGATACCAAAAAGGGACTTTCAAACTCATAAGTCGAAAATAAACTGACAACGCCATGACTTAGAAAGAAAAGACATACAGACAAACAACAGTACACAAAACACAACATAGAAAACTAAAGACTGAGCAACACGACCTTACCAAAAACTGGGGGTGATCTCAGGTGCTGCGGAAGGGTAAGCAGATCCTGCTCCACATGTGGCATCCGTCGAGTTGCTCATGTAAGTACAAGCCCGGTGATAAGTCTAATTTGGTCCGGTGATAAGTCTAATTCGGTCCGGTGATAAGTCTAATTCGGTAGCTTATATTCGGCGGAAAAGGGGACGGGATTGTAAGTACGACAATTGGAACATATCCATCGTTATCTGTGAAACAGATATTTCATAACGGTCAACCAACTCGCGATGGCGTTCGTACGAAGGGATGATTTCAACTTGGTTTAATAGCTTCCTTGTAGGCAGCAACCCTCTATCAAAGAAATCATGATAGGAAATATGGAATATCGTATCAACTGGGAGATATATACTCCGTATGCAGGCGCTGCTGGAATGTTGCTACATAGAAATAGAAAGTTCACAATGTGAAGCTGAATTCATCTCTTTTGTCGTAAACTTTTGTTTTCAACCGACCCTCATTGTCAATTTCTAGATGTAAGTCAAGATATGAGGCAGACTTAACTGTATCTGTTGTATCCTTTATCTCAAGTTCGATTGGAAAGATGCGTTCAATATAGTCACCAAATTTTGAGTTATTTAGTGACAGAACATCATCTCTATAGCGGAAAGTGATGTTAAAGGATACTGCTAACTTCTTTTCTCACCTCCTAAGAAGTTCCTGTACGAAGTTAGCCTCATATGAACAAAGGAACAAGTCGGCAAGAAGAGAAGCACAGTTGGTTCCCATGGGAATGTCGATTGTTAGTTGAAAAACACGTCATCCAATCGTAACAAATATGTTGTCAATCAAGAAATCAAGAATTGAATATTTCTTTTTGTAATTTTATTTTGGTGTTAAAGCGTTGACCGAAGCATATTTTGTATCAAGCACAGTCATAGATAAGTTATATTTAAAACGAAAATAAAATATAACTTTTGACATGACTCGGCTAATCTAAATTACGAAATCGTATGGAACTATGTAATGTATTTATATTGAATGTAAAGAACAAATTTAATATCGCTTTGACATCAGCGCGCAATTTTTTGTATGCCAATTTACGATATCAAGAACAGACATGTAGAAGCTACATTGTACAGGAAAAGATTTCAAAACTAAACTAAAACCATTCGGTATACAAATTAATGTTTCTTGACACTAGTACACTTTTGCTACAGGATTAAATGTAACAGTCTCCAAGCCATCATATGTAGGTGAGATTGGAAGTTCTATAACCTTGGGTTGTAGCATAACATCTAAATCCAACGACATCAGTGAGGTCCGCTGGTATTTTTATTCTAGCGGAAAATATCATCTACTAGAACCTTCATCTAACACAGGAAAGTACAGTAAACCTACACCAGAGAATCCATCACTAACAATTGAAAAATTGGATTTAAACGATGTTGGACCTTACATTTGCTCTGCAACTAATGGAGACGGGTTAAATGTTAATAGCACTGCAACACATTTATCACTTCTCGATTCTAAAGGTATTCATTCTAACTGTATAATCTATACAATTAAGAATATTAGGTAGCATGTACAGTATTGATTATGTCATATTAGTATATTTAAAATACGTATATAACTATGATTAAACAGGGTAAATTTAGACCTTTAGCTTATGAAATTTTATAACAAATAGTTATTCAAACAAACGAGACACTCTAGATTTTTTAAAGAGATTCAAATGATAGCACTGACCAATTACAGTTTCGTCAAATGTACTCTTGAGAGTTAGATAAACTATTCGTACTGTAACTACTTTCTAACCGACTGTAAACGTATACAATAAGCTAGAACAATTCTACAACTCTGTCTGAACCTACACCGATTGTTGTTCTTGTTTCTAAACGTATAATGTTACTTTATAAGCGATATTCTACTGTTCTGCTTTTGTTTTCAGAGAACAGGAAGGTTGTCTTTATATTAGGTTTAATATGTTGTCTTCTTGTATTGTTGGTTGTAACTGGACTTGTTCTGAGGAAGAATAAACCAATGTTGTTTTTGCAAATAGCATATACATTTCAAAAGGCTGAAGATGATGGCAAGTATTTTGTTAATACACTTTTTTTCAATTAAATACTGAAATAATGAAAGTTAGAGAATATTAGTCTCATATGAGAAAATTAAAGAAATCATTTAATGAAAAGTCAAATAATAAACTATATTTTACAAATTTTAAATATATAAAGTTATTATTTCTTATATTAAACCAATATGTTGGTGGGTTTCCTTTTAACCAATCTTTAGTTAAGTGTTTGCAGGACTATCCGGTTATTTTTTCGTCTTTTTTCTTTTGGTCATGGTATTGTTAGTCTTTCTTCGACTTCGGGTTTTAGATTGCCCCCTTGTACCTTCTCTCTCTTTTTTTAAAACGTTTTCAAATGAAGAAAAAAGTAAAATCACAAAAATACTGAACTCCGAGGAAAATTCAAAAAGGAAAGTCCCCAATCAAATGGCAAAATCAAAAAAACAAACACATCAAACGAATGGATAACAAACTGTCATATTCCTGACTTGGTACAGGCATTTTCTTATGTAGAAAATGGTGGATTGAACCTGGTTTTTAAGCTAGCTAAACCTCTCACTTGTATGACAGTTGCATCAAATTCCATTATATTGACAACGATGTGTGAACAAAAACAATAGGTAAAAATGTCACAAATAGAGGTAAATAGTCTAATTCGGTAGGTCACATTCGTGAAAAGGGAACGGGATTATAGTTACGACATAGGGAACATATCCGATATAATCTGTGAAACGGATATTCCATAACGGTCAACAAACATTGATGGCGTCCGTAAAATTTACAAAGTGATGATTTCAACTTCACCATTTGGAACTCTTGGTTTAAGAATGAAAATTCACAATTGGGAAGCTGAAATCATCTCTTTTGTCGTAAAGTTTTGTTTTCAACCGACCCTCATAGTCAATTTCTAGATACAAGTCATAATCAAATGGCAAAATCAAAAGCTCAAACACATCAAACGAATGGATAACAACTGTCATATTCCTGACTTGGTACATGCATTATAAATGAGTTTAAAAGTGCAAGATTTTAATTCTAACGGAAAGTTTAACATTAATTTGTTTTTATAGATTCAAAATTATGGGACGCATTTATATCATTCAAGTCACAAGACGTAGACCACCAGTTTGTATCCAGTAAACTTTACATGAAGTTGGAAACACAGTTGGGTTATAAATTGTGCATTCACCATAAAGACTTTTTACCAGGAAAAGGTAAGTCTTAAAAAAAATCAACCCATGTAAAAGTACTGTTTGGAATAAAATGAAATGCGAGTAATTTGAGAAAATTTGATTAAGATGAAAAATATGATAAATTCCAGAAAACGGCTCTTCGGACGCAGGAAATAAAAAAAAAATGTTTTCATTTACAAAGTAAATGATTTTTTTTCTCGTCCTGTGATTAATTTACTATACAAATGTATCTTCGTGTGATATGCATATTGCAGAATATCTTATTATATGTAACCGAAAATGTATACTATTTGTTATAGTAAAATGTATTTATTTGAAAGAATTTATTAGTGTGTAATCTAGGTCGATTCACTTATTAGCTGAATAAGATCCAATTCATCTAGTTTGTAAGTGAAAGGGCGAGTTTACATACCAGTAAATTCCGTTAAACTCGTACTTCTAATGAAATGTCCTAAAATATATTTTTAAATTAAAATAAGTGGATATTGATAGAAATATAAATCATTGTCTGTATCCATATACAAGTATGATGGGATTCTTGAATGATTTTAAGATCTACTCCAAAATCTTCAATCACAAACTTGACAATTTTGCTTTGATATCAAGAATTTTGATTTTTCTACGCTTTACACCTCTTTTGATCGACATTATATTTGTTGAGTAGGTGGATTGATATTTCAACAAACAGTTGGAAATCCAATGGGTGATAATTGTATACACCTAGAGGACGACTTGTTTTTTCTTTCACTCAGATTAAGCAGAACTCATACAAAGAAAAATACGAAGGATCTTGCAAGGATCTTTTATTTCACTTTCAGATATATTGATGATGTCCTGTCACTCGATAACCCACGGTTGAGTGCTTGCAATGAATATATCCCATTAAACTTGAAATAAAGGATATCACCGAAAAAAGAAGCTCTGCATATATCTTGATCTTTTTCTCGATATTGACACATACGAAGGGCTTCAAACTAGAATCTATGACTAACCTGATGATTGCAACTAACTATCTCATTGTCAGCGTCTCATTTCTCAGTAATAACATATCTTTCCGCTTAATCGTATGGCGTTAACATATCTAAAGTTATACGTTGTGTTTGTGCATGTTCACACTATAAGGACTTCATAAACAACAGACACACAAACTGTTCCAACAGAGCTATAAGGAAAAACGACTGAAATCGATCTAACACAAATTTTACGGTCACAATCACGAATTGGTTGACCGATACGATGACTGTGTCTGTGTCTCAACTCATTAGCAACATGTTTCCGCGGTCTTAGATATTAAGATACAAAAAAGTCGTCTGATCTACAAATCATATGAGATTTAAATATCGGTAAACTACTCTAGTCTCTTATTTAAGAATTAATACTCGTCACGCCACCAAGTGGAACTTATTTATGAATAATGAAATTCACTACGCAGATACACAAAATTTGAATTAATAGATTATGAAATTAATTGTACGTACTTCTATTTCAGCAATTGCTAACAACATAGTGGATTCCATTGCTAACAGCCGTCGTACTATACTGATAATAAGCAGGGAGTATCTTCAAGGAGGGTATACCACTTTTGAATTGGAAATGGCTCATGCTGAAATGATTGCTACTAAATCAAAGCACAAGATCATTCCAATATTACTAGACAAATATGACAATTTACAAGGTTCAATGGACGATACTTTAAAACACATAATCCAATCCGTCACTTACATTACGTGGCCAGGAGAAACCAGTCAAAGGGATGTTAAATCTTTTTGGAAAAGACTTGAACTTTCTATGCCAAAGAGATCACGTAAACTTCGCATCACAAGCGATGAAACTACTCCATTGTTAAAAAGTAACTTGCTTGAATCATCTGCATAAGATTTCTCTACACATGACAGTTGTATTAAACATATAATGTAGATTCATTAATTTTCGTGGGTATCGATTTTCGTGGATTGAGGAAACTTGCATTTTCGTGGATATTTGATTTCTTGGTTTTGCCAATCTCTGCATACAAAGCCTATAGAAAATTTGTAATTCGTTGAACATTTAAATTCGTGGTTCACCTGTTCCCACGAAAATTGGTATCCAACGGATAATGATGAATCCACAGTAATGAAACAAATAATAAAATTTTCCGGGCAACCGTTTATCCATGTTTCAGAAGACTTAATTGGGAAGTTGTGAACATTTATCCCTATTATTTGTAACAGTTAATAATTTTCAGAAATTTCAGAAATTGGTAGAAAGATGATAGCTGCCCTTTGATTATATGTTTAACAACACATGATATACCAAGACTAATAAAAATTAGAAGGGAGTTGTTTGATAGAGGACGGTAATAATATTTTGTATACTCGTGTATATAGATATAGATTTAAAACTAATCAATAATACAAGAGTTATCAAAATTTCGGATAGAAAAACTGACCATTCCAACACCCGACTCCTACCAGAAAATAGATGTACAAGCAAAGACAATGACGAAAAACACATGGTCCATAAAGCCTGGCTTGGCACAGCCACACAATGTAATGGGATTAAACCAGTACTATTTTTACGTACACACAAATCTCCGCTGTCCTTATCTATTAGGGATATCATCACTTAAAACGTTTGCTGTCGCCATTTTGAATTAGTCAATCGTGTTCAGATGAATATCCCAAATGACAATGGACATCTTTGATATCTGTAGTGATGCGACAGGCGTAGAATTAAAAATTGTTTTGATTAAACGTACTGAATTAAAATATGAAGCCTTCAAACCCGAGCTTACACTAGTCGCACCATTTTTTTTTTCAACCAAGAATTTGAAATTTCTTTCTTAAACTTCAGGGAAACATATGCTGAAATTTAATTGTGTGATGAGGCTTTTTGTGAACTGGCCTGTGTCAAATTTGTGCCACTTAATATGCTACAATACGCAAATGTACCACTTCGATCCATCAAATTTCTGACGAAACGGTTCCGATAGTAATTTACGAGTTAAGTCCCATTGTTGGCTTTAGAAAGTAGCAACAACGGTCGTTTCTAATGGCTTGCATTCCGACTGAACGTAAAATACTAAAACAGTACCATTTGAAATTATAAATCGCTAGTCCTGCTATATACAAAGATCAATATCAGTATCATGCAATATGTAAGTATTTGCCCAATAAAAACAAAGACAGAAAATCAAGGCATAACTGGGATGACGACTGATTTCAGTGCTAACTTCCTTCTTATTTTTCATGCATTTAGATTTTTTTAAACTTTTGTCTTAGACATACCTGGTAGAGCTTTCCAAAACCACATAACTTACGCACCGAATTCGGCAACCAATGACGAATAAAGACTACAAGCATACATTTGTTTTTTTTCAATTCTTTTCATTTACATACATACCCATTAATTTTAGGCATATTAATATAGCAATATGATCGATATACATTTACTGATCACGGCTGCTCTCTGAACTTCTCTAATGTTGGAAATAATGACCTACTTTGATGAAGCTTATTTACCTTGGGCGTTTGACATTTTTAATAATCATTTCTTTCACACAATGTGACGATTGTCACAGAAAGTACGTATCCTCTTCCTTCCTCCCTTTTCATTTTCGATATAACTGAATCAGCCAACGAAAAGTGTCAGTTACAGTCAAACAAAAAGTATTAACAATAAGTAAAATTTAATTGTTGTTTTGCGTCTTACCTTCTAAAATCCCCTCTTCTCCACACAAAAATTCGTTCCACTGTGTAAACTCATAAACATGATAATAGTTGATTAGTTTATACTTCAAAGTTGCAGATCGTATATATTGTCAATCACATGTAGTATTCGTGCTTCTACAGATCACTACCGACTCAATCTTGTTGGACAGTGGAACTGAAGACTATGATTAATTTAGATTAAATGTGTAAAACGAACCGAATGCATCCCCCGCAAAAAGACAGCGCAAATGATTGTCAAGGGACTTACATTTCAAATTTTATATTTCGATAAACAAACGAGGAAGTGTGATTCTGTCAAAATAAAATGCAAACCAAATGTGCAATGCAACCATTAACAACAATGCAACACAAATCGACGGCTTGTAAAACGATAAGGTTTCTAGACAACTAATCTAAAACTGATTTTAAAGAACAGAGGGAATGCCGAAATGACGGAATCGAGTAAGACCATGCGCCCTTGCAATTCAAAAGCACAAGACTATATAAAATATAGTTACACTCTGATTATTCAAACATGATTTTTTAAAAGAAAAAATGTCCTGTTTCGTTATAAAATACAATCACAGTAAAATCACAATAAAAGTATTAACAAAAATACTGAGCTCCAAGGTAAATTCAAAAAGGGGGAAGTCCATAAAACTGACCGTTAGTCTATTTTACCGAAATACAATTTATTAATTTCTAAATCAAACCATTATCCTCGTGCAGACAAGCCTAATTTCTCAAACCCCAAAACTAATTATATCCATTAGAACTTTTGCTTGATAACGTTTTATTGTTTATTTTGGAGGTACAGTATACACACACAAGTGATTGGTTTTCCAAACTGGACTGATTGTTCCCTCTTATTCCTGATTTGTTCCTTGAATGTAAAGAGTAACATGGCAAAACCTGGACAAAAAATTTAGTATAATACAGTTTCTTCTTTATTGCTTATTGTTGAAAATTGTATGTTTTATTGTATGGTTTGGTTGCTGTCTTAATGATTTATGCCAAACATTTCCCTTCAATCGTATCTAATAGAGGTTATAACTTGGAGTAATGTTTCTTATGGTGGCAGGTGTCAAAAGCAGTAAAAAAAGTTCGTGAACCGCACTGATTCCAAAAATAATATATATACCGAAGATGATGATATCACCGAAAGGCTGGATTTTTTTAACAACAACAATTTAGTTGAGTTTATTAGATTGATATTCCGACAGGCAGTCGGTATACCAATGGATACAAATTTTGCACCTTATGGCCGACTTGTTTTTGTTCTCATTTATAACAGAATTCATACAAAACCTTCTCATAGAAAAAAAAAAAACAACAAAATATCTTGCAAAGTTCTTCAATTTCACTTTCAGATATTGATGATTTCCTGTTACTGTCACATTTCAGTGAGTGCTTGCAGCTCATATACCAAGAAAACTTGTGATTAAGGATACTACCGAAACTAGAAAGTCAGCTTCATATCTCTCCTTGATATTGACACAGATGGACGACTTCAAACTAGAATCTATGACAAACGCGATGATTTAAACTTCCCAATTGTCACATTCCCATTTGTCAGCAATAACATAGCCCCTGCTTCATCCTATGGTGTTTACATTTCTCAATTGATAGGTTACGCTCGTGCATGTGTATGCTATACGGATTGCATTTGAAGGTGCATGCTCCGTAGACAGAAACGACACTTCACAAGTTTTTCGGTCGCTATCAAGAACTGGATGACCAATAACGTATATCTGTGTCTCAACTCAATAGTAACATGTTTACGTAGTCTTAGATATTCAGATACTAGAATAGTAGTCTAATCTGTAATTTAACTATTGTGTCCTTTTTTCAACTGTAACATTTTGACGGAGTGTAAATTGGCATGACTGGTAATGCATGCAAAGTAGGAGACGCACCCAGTCTCGCTCCTTTTACAGTTCATACGACTACCTCAATTGTTGTTTGTTACCTTTATTTGACCTCTCAATCGATGTATGAGATTTAGATATCGGTAAGTTCTGTTGCCTAGATTAAGAATTAGATTCAAATACTTTATTCTTTTAAATATCTGCTCACATACAAATGATAATAAAAACAAGGAATGATAAAGAAAAAGAAAAGATAAGTTCGGACTGATTGGAAAACCCACGAAATTATTTATTAACAATTTCCGATATTAGGGTATACGTCAATGAGTAAATAAACTCATCATAGATACCAGGATTGAAATTTTATATTTGCGCCAGACGCGCGTTTCGTCTACACAAGACTCATCAGTGAAGCTCGAATAAAAAAATGTTAAAGGCCAAAATAAAGTACGAAGTAAGCAACACAACGACACAAAAGGTTTGACAAGAGCTCAGCATATATTCCTCAACAATAGATTTAGAAACGCGGTGATTAGCTTAAACAGAAATATCAAAGCTTTCACATCAACGACAAAAACAAGTTTCACTATTTGTCAAATATGGCCTTGTTTAAACTTTAACAGACAATATAAATAAATAAACAATTTGGTTCTTAAATGGATCTATTTCAAAAGCCATAATGCTAAGTAAAACTATAGGATTCTACCGGTCCGGTAGCCTAACAGCATGAACACAAGTAGAATGAACACCGGTATACTACTGTTGCCTTTATCTATCTTTACATAAGAGTACATCAAAGCTTCCAAAGACAGCCCATTTTGGACATTTTGTACAAATATGTGCATTTTTTCAACCTAAAGCTTTAGAAAAATCTTGGACGCAACCTTTGATTCAAACTGTTGAGTACAACAAAAGATGCGAAGGTTGAAATTGAATCCTTAGTTACAGACAATTTCAGTATATACTAGACCGAGAAAATGACATTACAACACAGAATAATGCATAATTAAGGGGTAGTAACACTTCATAATTCATAATGAGATTTGCCAAAAATAAGTGATATTGCATTAATATTTCAAGTTGTATCACATCCATTTCTATTCAAAATTTGTAGTACTTGAACCAAATTGAAAAAAAACCATTAAAATCGTAGGGCAAATTTTATATTTTATTCCTTAGTGAACCTACCTATTCCTCCCAAAGGATAAAAAAAACATCAATATATGATTGACAACTTACGAGGTTCTTGATTTGCTTAGTTGAAAACTATGCAAGGTCTACATGAATGCATTGTACTCCTTTCCGAAAAGATAGAGAAAATTTTTGGATAAGGGAACTAGGTACTGCAATGCCATAGTTTCAATGATCGGCCTAATGTAAAAAAAATCTTCCAAATCTAGATCGCCCTCCGGGAGCTTTGATGACCTTCTTTCACATCCTCATCATCCGCTAGAGTTACATAACTTTAGGAACTATTCTTTTTTCACAGCCTGTTAATTTTCTAAAATGTTTGAGATATTATGCACTTGACAAGGAATGCATAAATACATTTTCTCCAATATACAGACTGGTCAGTATAATTTGTGATGTAGCTCTTTTCCGTCGTTTTAAACCAGTAAGATCGAAACCTGATGAAAAGTGGAAATTCCTTCCAGTTCATTTTTCTAATAAAGGAATTGATGCAATCAACATCAGCAACGTTCCTCATTACAAGGAGGTAACATCTAAAATTCCAGTTTATTTTCAAAATCAGTCTGTTCCTATTGTATCCTAC